GACGACAAACCGTTGACAAAGAAACGTTTAAGGTTAAGTCGAAATTATTATATCGTAGACTCTACGCAAGGTAATGGATATCTTATAAAAAGCTGCTGACGACTCCATAGCATTTTTACCCTCGTCATAAATTAGTCGAAAGTAGTAATGGCAAACTTGCTGAAACCATTGACGAAGCAAAGCGAGGAGTGGTTATTGAAATACTTGACTACAACATAAACGATGACACTTATAAAGTAAGATATGAAGGAGGCGTTGAAGATGTTATACCATCTAAGAACTTGAGAGAATCTAAACCAACTCATCTGGGACCATTAGAGCGGGAGTACTGGAAAGATAAAAACATGCCAGAAAGAATAAGAAAATTCTTCTAAACTTTTTCGTTGGATGTAAATCAGACATGAATGAGAATAATCATGGAATTATTAATGTTTTCATAAATTTACACCAAAAATAATGTTTAGGTGAAGTGGTGAGATTTCACCTGTTTTCTCACCTGTTTTCTCACCTCTTTTTTCACCTCTTGAACTTTCATGAATTTTCACAAAAGACCAAAAATAATGTTAGTTTTATTTTTATTTATTTTTTATTTTGTATGTAAGAACAGAAATGTCAGTCGAAGCAAAAACATTCACGAACAAATCTAATGGTGAAACATTCACAAAAGGCACTTATAACGGTATTGAAGTCTTACGTAGAGACAAGGATGGTTACATTAATGCAACAAAGATGGCGAGAGAAGCAGGAAAGTTAAACCATTTAAACAGATTTCTCAATAGTGCTAAAATGCAGGAAATTCTTGAGTTTTGGATGAACGAATACGGTGGAGCCAAAAGTGGCTCGACCTCAAAACAAGCATTTTATGAGCTTACAAAGGGTGTCATGAATGAATTCAAAGGTATTTACATACATCCTGACCTCGTTCATTTTGTTGCTGAATGGTGCTCTGTAAAGTATGCATTTTATGTCAAAGATATTATGGACTCCATAGACAAGAAAGTTCATGAGAAGTTAGATGAAGAAGAACTCGAAGATACAGTAGAAAATGCTAAACCTTTGTTCGAAGAAGAAGTTGGAAAAATGTGCGAAAAACAATTAGAACATGAACGTGAGATATATTATGGTTATAGAGATTCTCCATACGAACTAGACCAATGGGAACAAGAAGATTTAAAGAGAGAATTTAGAGAATATGAACTCGCTAAGATAGCATTTGAAGCTGCAGAAAAGAAGTTAAAAGTTTGGGGTCGTTTTGTACAAAAATATTGTGAGTAAATGAACCATTTATTTTTATTGAATTCAGTAAAAATATATTATAGGTGAAGAGGTGAGATGTCACCTCTTTTTTCACCTGTTTTCTCACCCCAGTTTTTCACAAGCGTTTTACATGAATTGTACGATGTATATTTGAAATCCTAAACAATTTCGTAGCTTCTATTTCTTCTGTCAGTATGTCAAAAGTTTTAACAATGCCGAAAGTCTCTTTATATTTCTTCTTGACGTCAGATAGAAGGAAATCGTCAGCAGTTGGATAGTTTTTGTTCAGAAATGCTAACATGTCCATTTTATTTTCTGCTGGCTTTTCTGCTTCTTTCTTTAAGTCTGCATAGTCGTTTCGCATTCTTTCTATCTCTTTGACGGAGTAGTTATATTTCCTAATTGCTGCTTTACATTTAGAACATTGCGGATTCATTTTTGCGTTATATTCTGAAACCTTACCTGCTAAAACAACTAAGGCGTCAATGGTTTTCTTTAACTCAAAAGCAGTTGGTCTTATCTGTTCGTTCCATATTTTACCTCTTCTATCTTTATCTCTTATCTGCCATACACATTCAGCAACTAACGAAACAAAGTTATCGTAGGTCTTAAACTCCCCGGATTTATATATGTCAGAAACATTCTTATATACCATGTCGCAATCTTTGTCCATAACCTTATGGTTGCAATGAAATCCTAGAAACTCATAGTTTACCTTTCGAATGAACTTCTTTATTTCTACTGAGTCAGTTGGTTTCACTTCTATTTCATCGAATTCAGGAATAGTTAGTTTTTGATGCTGAATTTCAGGTAGTTTAGGTAAATGGTCAATAATGTCCTGCATTTCATAAAGATACTGTTCATTTGTTTCATCTTTCGCACTACAGTCTAAATTACTTGTTAAAAGTTCTTGCTTTATCTTCTGGATTTTTGTTTCGAAAGTATATGAAGAAGGAATGAAGCTTTTCATCTCTACTAGATGTTGGATTCATGACTAACGAGTTTGGTGAAGTTGTTGTGGACAGAGTCCCGCCGTTCGCGGCTTGAATGTTGTTGTGCCGATTGTTGAAATCATATCTTTACATACAAAATAAAAAAATAAATAAAATAAAACTAACGTTATTTTTCTATCTTAAGGAAATTCATGAAAATTCATGAGGGTGAGAAATTAGGTGAAAAAAGAGGTGACATCTCACCTCTTCACCTATAATATATTTTGGTCATTTACACTCATTTACGAGAAGTTATGACAAAGCATTTACGAAGAAGTTATGACAAAGCATTTACGAAGAAGTTATGACAAAGTCACGAGGGTGAAAAAAAGGTGAGAAAACAGGTGACATCTCACCTCTTCACCTAAAATTATTTTGCGCTAGCGTTATTTTAGGTCAAAGCTTCCACGAGAGAAAAGATTCCTCATTCGCTAAGGATTCCAAAAATGAAAAAATCATTGATTTCGGCTGAGAAAAAACAGCAAAACCCTTCTTCCACGGGAACAAAGAAATAAAGAAGAAATAAAGAAGAAATAAAGTAAATTTTTTATTTATTCCCGTGGAAGATAGAGCACTTTTATGACACTTTTTATTCACGACAAACAAGACAAATAAAGAAAATAAGAAAATACGGCGCTGTCGCGGTTCGAACCACAGACCTTGACCCCTCCATAACACCACCTTAGACCACTGTGCTACGTAGCCTGTCGACATAAGATTTTATAAATTGCATATTTGACGTAAATTTATTTCCATCTGGCTTCCCACTGCATAAGATATTCATACGTGTTTGTAAGACATTCATTAAACTTCTTTTCTATTGCATCTAATCTTGCGTTATTTTTTTCAATAACTTGTCTGTATTCTTCATCATCTCCAGCAGTGTTTGGGTCTTCACGTTTAAAATATTCATTGTTAACCAATTTTTTATCTACAAATTTTATTAGTGTTTGATTCACTTCGTTATGATAACGGTCATATTCTTTCAATACGTAAGTGAAGACAAAATGCGTCGTACCTTCAATCTTAAAGCTTAAAGAACTTTCAACACAGTTTTGAGGGTCTGTCAGTGCGTCAATGAGATAGTATTCGAAGTCAGTCAATAATCTTTTTAAAGTCATTTCATACAGGATAAAATTTAATGTTGTGAAGAAATAGTGTTTATCTCAAAAAAAATAAAGTTAGTTTTTATTTTATTTATTTTTTTATCCTGTATGTAAAGACAGATATGTCAACATTAGAGAACACAACAACTGCTATCGTTCATGAAGTCATAAATGAAGAATACGAATACATACAGTATAACAAACAATTGAGACTCATTCGTTCTGTCAAAGACGACATGTACCAAATGCAAAGTATTTTGACGGCTTGTTTTGCTCCAGATACTAAGCTTCCTAAAGACTGGTTTAGGAACCAAAGCACCATAGAACTATTAAGTGAAGCACAGCGAGACGTACTTTTTTCTGAAAACAGTGAAGAACAGCGAGTAGGTAAAAAATCCCAGTCGCCAAAACTCTATGAAAACCGTGAAAAATTGCCAAACGGTTTGAGAGGATATTATGTTCATAGACTTTTAGTAAATGCTGTAGCAATGTGGGCTTCACCTCGTTATGCTTGGAATATTTTCAATTTTGACGAACTATATAGCAAGAACGTGGAGAGATGGAAAAGAAACTTCAAGCAAAAGATGAAGTCATTGAATCCAAAGACAAAAGCATACAGAAAAGAATACCGTTCAGTACCAAAAGGAAAGGAAAAGAGTTATAAGTATATGATTTATACTGAAGAGTTGGAGAAAGAAGAAGATAGAGATATGGTTATGTTGCATTTAGTCAGAAGAAACAACAAAAGCTTTTACGACCTTGCTAAAATATATAAATCTGACAGAAACTGGTTCTATCGTGAAAACTTACCGATTTCAATGACACCGAATGAGCAAATAAAAGAAATTGTCAAAAATACTCTTCCTCAAACACACTATGACATCAAAGGTTGCACAATACTTACCTTCAAAGAAGACTTAACATTACTGAAGGAAAAAATAACAGAATATTTCGATAACTTCAAAGAGGAAGAATGAAGTCACGACAACATTAACGAAGAAGTCACGACAACATTAACGAAGAGAGAATGAGGTGAAAAAACAGGTGATATCTCACCTCTTCACCAAAAATATATTTTTGGTTAAATAGCTTCAGGGTCAATTTCTTCAACCATTTCACTTCCTTCGTCAATGTCAATTGAAGCTTCTTCAACCTTTGGTAAGAACTTTTGTATAACATCTTTGTTCGTTATTGTCTTCAGAGATGAAGGATAATATTTCACAGATGTTTCACCCTTCTTATATTCTTTCTGTTCGGAAAGATTCATAGCAATACTGAAGAAGTCAATGTTGGAGTTCTTTATGACAGTATAGTGTGTATCTTTGACATTCACGAAGAAACCCTTTTGTTTCAAAACTACTGCTAACTCTTGTGAAGTATAACGTTTGCGGTCAATGACGATAGCTAATGGTCTGACATACTGACCAAACTTAGATTCTTTCACAAACTTCTTGTTAAAGATAACATTAACGTTTGAAGCATTATTGAACTCATTCTTGATGGCAGTAGCGAGAGCATTGTATGAAAAGAACTTGCAATCTTGCATGTGTTTCATTAAAATAAAAATATTAAATTATTTTGAAAAATAACTTAAAAAAAATCTAATCTAATTTTTTCAAAAATATTTTTTTATTTCCTACTAAAGATGTATCGGAAGTTGTCTAAGTTAGAACACTCGGAAATAAAACAACTTCTTACAGAAGCTAATATAGATGTTGCAAAGCATTACGCAACAAACAAAAAAGCACTCGCTGACTTCATTAAAGACTATAATGGTGCAATAAGTTATGATAGAATTCATGAGTTCATAAAGCCGCAACGCGGCGAGGACGAAGTCCATGCAAGAGCATTTCCTTTAAATGACATTGCTATTGACTTATATCATAGACGTTCAGTACCTCATGAAGTAAGAAGAGAGATGTTTGACATAACAAATGCAAACGTTGGTGAAACAAGAAGAGCTGTACCTCATGAAGTAAGAAGAGAGATGTTTGACATAACAAATGCAAACGTTGGTGAAACACGAAAGAGAGATGACACACTGAAACAACAGAGAAGAGAGATGTTTAAAAGTGCTATAGAACAAGTTCGCAAAGCTAACGATGTCATTCGTTCCATTGACGACAAACCAAAAGAAGGTGAGAGATGGTTAAAGAAAGATGAAGAGAATAGGAAGAGAAATGTGAAGTCAGGCAATAGACTCATTGACTTTAACATCGAAGCTTTAGATGAACCAAACAGAGACTACTTACACAAACATTTCGGTAAGGTTTTCATGAGACTCTTAGAGAAAATTAAAATAAACTCGCAACAGAGATGGATGGTATGTTATAAACTTGGTGGAAAGTATGAATGTTCTACGTTAAACCTCAATAATATTGGAACATTACTACATCAGCTCTTGAAGGAGAACTTTATATCAGAGATAGAAGCAAATGCTGCAGGTATTGTTGAAATGCACTATGACTTCTTCTTGACAAACATAAAGAATCTTACCGAAATAAAGATGTATGATTTAACAGAATATGAAGGCTTAACGATGTCAGATGTAAAGAAAGGCAAACCAAAAAAGAGACCATATAGAGATGAAAGCACACTGACAAATGACCAGAAAGCCATTTTGGAAGCTCTTAAGCAAACAGGAAACCCAGCACTTATAGAAAGCTTTTGGAAAGATAATGGTGAAAAGAAGTTTTATAAGAAGAGAAGCGGTCAGTTCTGGAAGTATCTTTGCACATTACCTATAAATCTTGAACGCTACCAAATCTTCAATGAACTGAACAAAAGAACTGCAACACTTATGACAGAGGACAATTGTTTCGTTTATGCTTGCATTCAGGCTGGAGTAAATGAAGAAACTATTGACCACATGAGAGAAGTCATTCGTGTTAGAGACTTTCCTCAAAGTAAAGTACAAGAAATTTCCGACAACAGGTATAGCATTTAATGTTACCATTGGTTATTTCAATGACTCAAGACATAATGAAATAAAGAGATATATACCAAAAGAATGCGAAACTGTTAGAACTATTGACTTACTTCTTGTTGAAGACCACTACATGCTAAATGAAAGATTACCAATGACAACATACTTCATTCGAAACTATATAGAAATCTTGAAGGAGTGTGGTGGAATGAACATTGAGAAACAGATGAAGATTTATACAAAGAGAGAAGATAAATATGTAGTTCGTTATGATAGAACAACACCGCTATGGGATGTTATGAAAACATTGTGGGAGTGCAAATATTTCGAACCTATTTCTTATGGAGAACTTTTCACATATACTACTGACTTATATAAACAGAACCTTGCACCATTTAAAGATTTGACATATGCTCCAAAGTATTGTGTACAACTGAAGAAGAAAGCAGAGTCAAAAGAAGTAAATAAAGCTAAATGTAAATTCATTCCTGAGCACGTTTTCTTTGCTGACTTTGAGTGTAGCACAGACGGCTTTCATAAAGCTTTTAACATCTGTTATGACAGTGAAGATGGTTCAGTGAGTGAAAGCATTTGGGGTCAAAACTGTGCAACAGAATTTTTGGAAAGACTTCCTGACAAGAGTTTAATATATTTCCACAACCTCAGTTATGACATAAACTTCATCTTAAGACACATGACAGAAGTGAAAGGAACTCCCATCATTAAAGGTTCACGAACAATGCAAATAACTGGTTTATATAAAGGACGGGCAATTATTATAAAAGACTCTTACAGTGTTATAAATAAGAAGCTTAAACTATTTCCTGCTATGTTTAACTTACAAACAGGACCGAAAGAAGTATTTCCATATAACTACTACAGCAGTGTTTTGTTAGCAAATGACAACAGAACTGGTGTCATTTCTGAAGCATGTAAGTTTATCCATGATGCAGATACATTTATGAAAAACATAGATTCCATCAAAGGTTGCAGAATAGATGAAAACCACTTCGACTTAGAAAAATATAGCACGTTTTACTGCAAACAAGATGTAAGAATTTTAAGAGAAGGTTTTGTAAAGTTCCGCAATGACTTATTGAAAGAGTTTGATTTAAACGTTTATGACTACGTTAGTATTTGTTCTATTGCTAACAAATTGTTTGAGAACAGAGTATACTTCCCGAATGGAAATCTTTATGACCTCTCAAATAAACCAAGAGAATTTATTTCGAGATGCATTCAAGGTGGAAGATGTATGTTGTCAGATAACATGAAACAAAAGAGCAAAAAGAAACTCATTGCTGACTTCGACACTGTTTCATTATATCCTTCAGCTATAGCAAGACTTTATACTTTAGAAGGTATTCCAAAAGTATTGAAGGAAGAAATGTTAAGCACAGAGTATCTCATGAGACATTTATTCGATGATGACCAAAAGGAACCCATTGGTGAAAAGTTTATGTCTGGCTTCTTTGTTCTCATTAAGATAACAGAGATTGGTATACCCAGACACTTTCATTTAATAGTTTGCGACCCTGAACTAAATCCAGAACTTAACGTTCCAAGAAGTTCAAACACTTGCTGTCTCATGTATGTTGACCATATAACATTACAAGACCTCATAAAATATCAAGGTGTCAAATGTGAAGTGTTGCAAGGATACTATTACGATGGAAACAGAGATATGAGAATAAGAGATGAAGTAAAGAAGTTGTTTGAGTTAAGGTTAAAGTATAAGAAAGAAGGAAACCCCTTACAAGAAATTATAAAACTCATTCTGAACAGCATTTATGGCAAAACTATTCTATCTCCTATTGAGTCAAAAATAACCATAGTAAATGACAAAGATGCTATAAGATATGCTATAAGAAATTACAACCATATAGTGAAGTTCGAAGGTTTGGATGGTTCAGATAAAACTATTTTCAAGCTAACGAAAAGCATTTGCAGACACTTTAACTTCTGTCCACTTGGTGTTAATATTCTGTCTATGTCAAAACGTATTATGAATGAAGTATTCTGTACTGCTGAAGACATGGGACTTCAAATCTTTTACCAGGATACCGACAGTATGCACTTATATAATGAAGACATCCAAAGCTTGCAGCAGAGTTTAAGAAGAGATATGGTCGCGAACTTATAGGAAAGAACCTTGGTCAATTTCATAGCGACTTTGCAGAAATAACACCTGGAAAACAAAGTTTAGCTTATAAAAGTATTTTCTGTGGAAAGAAGACCTACATAGACTTACTCACTAACGATTTAAATGAAGTTGCATTTCACTGCAGAATGAAAGGCGTGAAGCAAGATGTTATTGCTTTAACCGCTAATGAAATGTTTCCTGAAGCTATACAATGCTATTACAATGAAGATAAGAACATTCACATACCTGTTGGAACATATGACAAAGACTCTGAGTTCAGTTTAATGAAACTTTACAAAGCACTTTATGATGGTCAAGAGATTGCATTCGACTTATGTAAGTCATGTCAACCTTGCTTTGCTGAAAAGTTCAACTTTTCAATAACGACTAAAACAAGCTTTATTCGTAAGTTGAAGTTCTGAGGTCATGGGCTTCGCCCTTGCCGCTAGCGGCTTATTTTTGTCAGCAATGAGGTCATGAATGAGGTCATGGGCTTCGCCCTTGCCGCTAGCGGCTTATTTTTGTCAGCAATGAGGTCATTCGTGATAAAAATAAAGCTAGCGTAGATTTTACAATACTGCGATGGTAGAGTTTAAGAGTTGTGCTTCAATGTAGAGACAGTCCTTCCCATCTGGAGGCAAGAACACTGGACATTTATGGTCATGAGTGGAGAACATGTCTATCCAAAACTCACGATTGAAGCCAGTTAATTTATAGTATTTAGGGTTAGGAAGTGGTGAAGTTCTTGTATGACCAATGAACTCATTTTCAACGCCTTTGGCTATATTAGAGTAAAGTATTGCTTGCTTTCTATCCCAAATGCCAGGTGTTACAATCTTTGAAAATTCATTTTTCCTCGGAAGCATTGCATCATAATTGAAAACATTCTTAAAATCATCACTTGGTTCGGAGATTTGAAATCTTATACGTAATGGATTTTCTTTCTTTTTAGCGACTTCATTGAATGGTGAGAATACAATGAATTGACAGTCATGTGTTCCATCTTCATTTTCATTAAATTCATAATGAAAGTCTATAAGTTGTGGCTGACTACCTTCTTCCTTCAGTTGTGCAAGAAACTCACGTAAAGGCTGTAAAGTTTGTACTTCAATGTTGAACTTTTTCTCGAACATCTCATTAAATGAAATCATACATTGCAACAATGTTGTATCGTCTTTAAAGTATTTGTATATGTGAATGTTTTGGGCGCTTAAAGACTGTTCGTCATTTTCTATCTCGACTTGAAGTATAAAGTCAACCTTTCTGAAAGCACGTGTTATATACATAGATGTTATGCCAATGTACTTCTCTTCATTTATGTTCACAATCCAGTCTGTTGGAAACTTAAACGTTACTCTGTTCCCCTTTATTTTGACGTCAGGGTTTTCACTACTGAACGCAACAGATAAAGGTATTTGTCTATACATTTAGTTTGGATAAAAATAAACCATTTACTCTTTCTTTGCTTCAGCTTCCTTTGCTTTTTGTTCTTCCTTTGCTTTTGCTTCTTCTCTAGCTTTTTTCGCCAGCAAACGTGGGTTCTTCTGTCTTCCAGCAGCTAATGCAGCTAGTTGTTTTTCACTAAGTTTTCTCTTTGGTCTCTCTGGCTTTTGTTCTTGTTTTTGTTCCTTCAGTTCGGATAAAATTTGCTCGCGAATTTCTTTCTTCAATGCTTCAACATCTATGACCCCTTGGGTCTTGTCCGTAGGGCTTGTCTGAGTCATTTGACTGTAGATAAAAAACTAAATTAAAACTTTAACCGATGTAAAATGAGCTTGTCAAAATCAGAGCGAGAGTCTATTATATTAAATGACGCAAGAGGAATACAACATCCTTTCTATTACGTAAGTCAGAGTAAAGATGGTAAAATATACGTAAGAAAAAGAAAGGTTCCATTAGCGAATGCAGAGAGCGACAACATTAAGGTGCATGCAAGGGTGAAGTCCACGAAGCCCATATAAAACCTTCTGTTCAAACTGAGTCCAAAAGAACAAGAAGAAAAGAAGCCAGATGTACTTTCAATAACGAACCAAGAGCTTATTGCAAAGTTCGTGAATTTCATTGAAAAACAAACCGAGTCAAAGAACCCTGACCCCCAGTGAAAGAAGTTGAGACAAAAGAGAATGTACAGTTCATTGAAAATGTCAAGAAACAACTTCCACCACGAATACCAAGAAGAAGAGTGAGAATAATGAAGTAAATAGATATTTTTATCTGAAGTAAATACATGCAGAACGAACAGTTAAACGAATTTACTCCAGCAGAGCATATTCATCAGATTCGCTCATATTTCGATATCATAGACAATGCAGTTCAAATTGGTGACACTAATAGAAAATATTCTGACGCAAAGATTCCATCACAACCTGGAACTGCTAAAGATAACACATGGGTAACATTCAATCTCTCACCTCCTGGTGAAAATATGTTGGACCTTTACAATACATTCATTACGTATAAAATGGAAGGTCAATTTATTGTAGATAAAGAAATTGGTTCAGGTTCCAATAAAACAAACCCACCAGGATTTTGGATTGGTTTCGATGACGCTTTCTATGCAGTTGCTGGATATCAAATCCTTGCAAATGGTCGTATCGTATATTCTCAAGACAACGCAAGAGAAGAAGCATATATAACTTCAAACTCACAAACTACCGAACAAATAAAGAAAGTAGATGTTTTCTCAAAGACTCGACATGAAGATGTATGGAGTCATTCGGGAACATGCAGAACAGGACAAATTGTTAGTGGTCCAATTACAGCAGGAAAATCATTTGATTTTAAGCTTCGTTTAAGAATTCCTGTTAGAAGATTCCTTCCATTAGAAGCTATTCGATTTATTCCAGCTTTTGCAGGAAACATTCAGCTTAAAGTAAAGTTCAGTAGCGACGCCTTACAATGCACATCTATATCTGTAAATGATATCATTGCTTTCAATCCAACTCTTAAAGTTGCATTTGCTTCAGATTCAAATCCACCGACAAATAAATTTGTTCCATGGAATGAACCATTCACTATGATAACGAAGGCAGTAGAAGCTAGTGGAACAGTTACTATTACAACTGTAAACCAGCAACTATTTCGAACAAAGATGGATTTTAATGAATGTTTCATTCATCCAAAGTCATTCTCTTTAGACCCTAACATTTATACAGAACTTGTAGAACATTATACAAACGAGGCTTTATGTTTTCCTGTTAAAGTTATGGATTGGATTCCTATGGACGGTTCATTCTCAAAGAATACAGATAGTTCAAGTGCAACATTTACAGCAGCTTATACGCCTATTAATGTTAAAAGTATTTGGGCACTATTTAGAAAGAAAGACAACTATTATGTTAATTTTGAGAACCCTAAGTTTAAATATCTTCAGCTTTCCATGGGAGCTTATGGAAATATGCCTGCAGAACCTGAAAAATCATATGGACCTGTATTTTATGAAATGGTTGCGAACGCTTGCAATACAAACAATGATATGATAGGATTTAATGAAGATGTTATGAGGTCATTGGTGGATGATGGTAGTGTGGAACATAAATGGGATAGCTATGACAACACACATTTCTTATGTGGTTTTCCAACAGAAGTGGACTTTTGCTTCCAGCAAGGTCAAACATCTACTGCTCCAATAACATACAAATTGTCTGTTAAAGGACCTATTGAACTAGCAACTGAAAACGTACCAAAGCCACTTATTGGATTTATGAGGGATTGTTGCTTTGCAATACAAGTAAGACAGTCAGGCATACCAATAATAAGACTTGACGACTATAACTTAGCCACGGACGACAGTGAGGAATAAAGGATGAACGTTTATTTTTAAAGCTTATAAATGAGTTCTTCATCAAGCTCTCGTGAACCTTCACCATCTATGAAACAAACTTTACCAAACGATTATGGAGCACCTATTGAATATTTCTTACGAGCTGCACAATGGCAAAGAGCAGTCTCACCAAGGTTAGGTGTTCCACCAGCTCCTGTCAAAAATAGCATTTGGTCAAGTCCTTATATAAAATATGGTCTCCCACTAGGTTTGCTAGCTACAGCAGGAGCAGTAATGATGTTGAAAAGAAACAAAGCAAATGTTATAAATAATACTGAAGTAGCTGAATTTGAACAAACTCCGACACCATCGCCAAAACCAACGTCAAAACCAACGCCTTCACAAACAACACCTTCAATGACTCCTGAACCTATGAAAGTACAAACTCCTGTTCAAAAGTCAACTCCAAAACC